CACATCCATGTCTGTCACCAACATCTACCACTTGTACAGTAATTAACACAAGGACATACCAGCTCACATCCATGTCTGTCACCAACATCTACCACTTGTACAGTAATTAACACAAGGACATACCAGCTCACATCCATGTCTGTCACCAACATCTACCACTTGTACAGTAATTAACACAAGGACATACCAGCTCACATCCATGTCTGTCACCAGCATCTACCACTTGTACAGTAATTAACACAAGGACATACCAGCTCACATCCATGTCTGTCACCAACATCTACCACTTGCACAGTAATTAACACAAGGACATACCAGCTCACATCCATGTCTGTCACCAACATCTACCACTTGTACAGTAATTAACACAAGGACATACCAGCTCACATCCATGTCTGTCACCAACATCTACCACTTGTACAGTAATTAACACAAGGACATACCAGCTCACATCCATGTCTGTCACCAACATCTACCACTTGTACAGTAATTAACACAAGGACATACCAGCTCACATCCATGTCTGTCACCAGCATCTACCACTTGTACAGTAATTAACACAAGGACATACCAGCTCACATCCATGTCTGTCACCAACATCTACCACTTGTACAGTAATTAACACAAGGACATACCAGCTCACATCCATGTCTGTCACCAACATCTACCACTTGTACAGTAATTAACACAAGGACATACCAGCTCACATCCATGTCTGTCACCAACATCTACCACTTGTACAGTAATTAACACAAGGACATACCAGCTCACATCCATGTCTGTCACCAACATCTACCACTTGTACAGTAATTAACACAAGGACATACCAGCTCACATCCATGTCTGTCACCAACATCTACCACTTGTACAGTAATTAACACAAGGACATACCAGCTCACATCCATGTCTGTCACCAACATCTACCACTTGTACAGTAATTAACACAAGGACATACCAGCTCACATCCATGTCTGTCACCAACATCTACCACTTGTACAGTAATTAACACAAGGACATACCAGCTCACATCCATGTCTGTCACCAACATCTACCACTTGTACAGTAATTAACACAAGGACATACCAGCTCACATCCATGTCTGTCACCAACATCTACCACTTGTACAGTAATTAACACAAGGACATACCAGCTCACATCCATGTCTGTCACCAACATCTACCACTTGTACAGTAATTAACACAAGGACATACCAGCTCACATCCATGTCTGTCACCAACATCTACCACTTGTACAGTAATTAACACAAGGACATACCAGCTCACATCCATGTCTGTCACCAACATCTACCACTTGTACAGTAATTAACACAAGGACATACCAGCTCACATCCATGTCTGTCACCAACATCTACCACTTGTACAGTAATTAACACAAGGACATACCAGCTCACATCCATGTCTGTCACCAACATCTACCACTTGTACAGTAATTAACACAAGGACATACCAGCTCACATCCATGTCTGTCACCAACATCTACCACTTGTACAGTAATTAACACAAGGACATACCAGCTCACATCCATGTCTGTCACCAACATCTACCACTTGTACAGTAATTAACACAAGGACATACCAGCTCACATCCATGTCTGTCACCAACATCTACCACTTGTACAGTAATTAACACAAGGACATACCAGCTCACATCCATGTCTGTCACCAACATCTACCACTTGTACAGTAATTAACACAAGGACATACCAGCTCACATCCATGTCTGTCACCAACATCTACCACTTGTACAGTAATTAACACAAGGACATACCAGCTCACATCCATGTCTGTCACCAACATCTACCACTTGTACAGTAATTAACACAAGGACATACCAGCTCACATCCATGTCTGTCACCAACATCTACCACTTGTACAGTAATTAACACAAGGACATACCAGCTCACATCCATGTCTGTCACCAACATCTACCACTTGTACAGTAATTAACACAAGGACATACCAGCTCACATCCATGTCTGTCACCAACATCTACCACTTGTACAGTAATTAACACAAGGACATACCAGCTCACATCCATGTCTGTCACCAACATCTACCACTTGTACAGTAATTAACACAAGGACATACCAGCTCACATCCATGTCTGTCACCAACATCTACCACTTGTACAGTAATTAACACAAGGACATACCAGCTCACATCCATGTCTGTCACCAACATCTACCACTTGTACAGTAATTAACACAAGGACATACCAGCTCACATCCATGTCTGTCACCAACATCTACCACTTGTACAGTAATTAACACAAGGACATACCAGCTCACATCCATGTCTGTCACCAACATCTACCACTTGTACACAGTAATTAACACAAGGACATACCAGCTCACATCCATGTCTGTCACCAACATCTACCACTTGTACAGTAATTAACACAAGGACATACCAGCTCACATCCATGTCTGTCACCAAACATCTACCACTTGTACAGTAATTAACACAAGGACATACCAGCTCACATCCATGTCTGTCACCAACATCTACCACTTGTACAGTAATTAACACAAGGACATACCAGCTCACATCCATGTCTGTCACCAACATCTACCACTTGTACAGTAATTAACACAAGGACATACCAGCTCACATCCATGTCTGTCACCAACATCTACCACTTGTACAGTAATTAACACAAGGACATACCAGCTCACATCCATGTCTGTCACCAACATCTACCACTTGTACAGTAATTAACACAAGGACATACCAGCTCACATCCATGTCTGTCACCAACATCTACCACTTGTACAGTAATTAACACAAGGACATACCAGCTCACATCCATGTCTGTCACCAACATCTACCACTTGTACAGTAATTAACACAAGGACATACCAGCTCACATCCATGTCTGTCACCAACATCTACCACTTGTACAGTAATTAACACAAGGACATACCAGCTCACATCCATGTCTGTCACCAACATCTACCACTTGTACAGTAATTAACACAAGGACATACCAGCTCACATCCATGTCTGTCACCAACATCTACCACTTGTACAGTAATTAACACAAGGACATACCAGCTCACATCCATGTCTGTCACCAACATCTACCACTTGTACAGTAATTAACACAAGGACATACCAGCTCACATCCATGTCTGTCACCAACATCTACCACTTGCACTTGTACTGTCACCAATCTACACAAGGACATACCAGCTCACATCCATGTCTGTCACCAACATCTACCACTTGTACAGTAATTAACACAAGGACATACCAGCTCACATCCATGTCTGTCACCAACATCTACCACTTGTACAGTAATTAACACAAGGACATACCAGCTCACATCCATGTCTGTCACCAACATCTACCACTTGTACAGTAATTAACACAAGGACATACCAGCTCACATCCATGTCTGTCACCAACATCTACCACTTGTACAGTAATTAACACAAGGACATACCAGCTCACATCCATGTCTGTCACCAACATCTACCACTTGTACAGTAATTAACACAAGGACATACCAGCTCACATCCATGTCTGTCACCAACATCTACCACTTGTACAGTAATTAACACAAGGACATACCAGCTCACATCCATGTCTGTCACCAACATCTACCACTTGTACAGTAATTAACACAAGGACATACCAGCTCACATCCATGTCTGTCACCAACATCTACCACTTGTACAGTAATTAACACAAGGACATACCAGCTCACATCCATGTCTGTCACCAACATCTACCACTTGTACAGTAATTAACACAAGGACATACCAGCTCACATCCATGTCTGTCACCAACATCTACCACTTGTACAGTAATTAACACAAGGACATACCAGCTCACATCCATGTCTGTCACCAACATCTACCACTTGTACAGTAATTAACACAAGGACATACCAGCTCACATCCATGTCTGTCACCAACATCTACCACTTGTACAGTAATTAACACAAGGACATACCAGCTCACATCCATGTCTGTCACCAACATCTACCACTTGTACAGTAATTAACACAAGGACATACCAGCTCACATCCATGTCTGTCACCAACATCTACCACTTGTACAGTAATTAACACAAGGACATACCAGCTCACATCCATGTCTGTCACCAACATCTACCACTTGTACAGTAATTAACACAAGGACATACCAGCTCACATCCATGTCTGTCACCAACATCTACCACTTGTACAGTAATTAACACAAGGACATACCAGCTCACATCCATGTCTGTCACCAACATCTACCACTTGTACAGTAATTAACACAAGGACATACCAGCTCACATCCATGTCTGTCACCAACATCTACCACTTGTACAGTAATTAACACAAGGACATACCAGCTCACATCCATGTCTGTCACCAACATCTACCACTTGTACAGTAATTAACACAAGGACATACCAGCTCACATCCATGTCTGTCACCAACATCTACCACTTGTACAGTAATTAACACAAGGACATACCAGCTCACATCCATGTCTGTCACCAACATCTACCACTTGTACAGTAATTAACACAAGGACATACCAGCTCACATCCATGTCTGTCACCAACATCTACCACTTGTACAGTAATTAACACAAGGACATACCAGCTCACATCCATGTCTGTCACCAACATCTACCACTTGCACAGTAATTAACACAAGGACATACCAGCTCACATCCATGTCTGTCACCAACATCTACCACTTGCACAGTAATTAACACAAGGACATACCAGCTCACATCCATGTCTGTCACCAACATCTACCACTTGTACAGTAATTAACACAAGGACATACCAGCTCACATCCATGTCTGTCACCAACATCTACCACTTGTACAGTAATTAACACAAGGACATACCAGCTCACATCCATGTCTGTCACCAACATCTACCACTTGCACAGTAATTAACACAAGGACATACCAGCTCACATCCATGTCTGTCACCACCATCTACCACATGTACAGTAATTAACACAAGGACATACCAAGATTCTTGAAGTCATGGAGACCCCAGATGCACTTTCCTTTTCCATCCGATGGATATCTGTCTAGTTAAGGTAACAACCACTGTCACTAGTACATGAACACAATTCAAACCCGTAACCCCCAGTAACAGTTGGTCCCTGTTGTAGATGTATATGGAGGAAGGATACAGCACAGCGCCATGGTGAGAGGTCCTGCAATCAGGGAGTCTGAGTACAGCTCTCCCTCCAAGCCTGCAACATACCACTTACACACTCAAACTGACACATTCAAATATAGTGTCATGGGACTATCAACAAACGCAGAAACTTAAGAAAAGTCAGCATTGATATCCAAGTATCATCTGTATAAATACTGAAGACATAAACCTTTAATTATCCTAGTGAGTGAGTGAGTAAGTGTCGTTTTACGCCGTTTTTAGCAATATTCCAGCAATATCACGGCAGGGGACACCAGAAATGGGCTTCACACATTGTACCCATGTGGGGAATTGAACCTGGGTCTTCGGCGTGACGAGTGGACACTTTAACCGCTGGGCTACCCCACCGCCCCTTTTAATCATGCTGATGATATCAACAAAATGTAATGTTATCATAACATCATAAGATAACATGACCAAGTTCAACTGCCCCAGTCTGGCATTATCTGGGGAGAGAATTTACAGAGTCGAATATGCATTTTAAACAAGTAAAAATATGAAATACCAGGAACATGTGGTCAGTTACACAGCTGACCAAACTAATTGAGCTTATTGTGGCACAAGATATTAACACTTTGAATACCCATCTGTACCTTGTAATACCAGCTGTTGGATCTGAGCCTGTATCTGTGAGTTGACCCGGCCAAACAGTTCATATTTCCCATCCACCTGGCGATACTGCTCTGCCTCTGTATCTCCGTCCCCCTGTGTCGACTGCTGCTGCCACCTCCCTCGGGTACAGGAACTCACTGCACATGGAGACGTAGCAACATCACACACACAATGTCTCATCTGTGCTCACGGACAAAGCAATCATGGAAGGCAACTCTACAGATACAAAGTTTCCCTGGCTAAACACTGCCTTGGTTTGCATTGCCTAGTCTCCTAGGCAATACTTCAACTGCCTTCCTCCCAACCTCACCCAGGTGTGCAGGAGCCCCACCCTCCTCCAGACTGACCCCTGCAGTCTCCTAGGCAATACTTCAACTGCCTTCCTCCCAACCTCACCCAGGTGTGCAGGAGCCCCACCCTCCTCCAGACTGACCCCTGCAGTCTCCTAGGCAATACTTCAACTGCCTTCCTCCCAACCTCACCCAGGTGTGCAGGAGCCCCACCCTCCTCCAGACTGACCCCTGCTGTCTCCTAGGCAATACTTCAACTGCCTTCCTCCCAACCTCACCCAGGTGTGCAGGAGCCCCACCCTTCTCCAGACTGACCCCTGCAGTCTCCTAGGCAAAAACTTCAAGCTGCCTTCCTCCCAGCCTCACCCAGGTGTGCAGGAGCCCCACCTTCCTCCAGACTGACCCCTGCTGTCTCCTAGGCAATACTTCAACTGCCTTCCTCCCAACCTCACCCAGGTGTGCAGGAGCCCCACCCTCCTCCAGACTGACCCCTGCTGTCTCCTAGGCAATACTTCAACTGCCTTCCTCCCAACCTCACCCAGGTGTGCAGGAGCCCCACCCTCCTCCAGACTGACCCCTGCTGTCTCCTAGGCAATACTCCAGCTGCCTTCCTCCCAACCTCACCCAGGTGTGCAGGAGCCCCACCCTCCTCCAGACTGACCCCTGCTGTCTCCTAGGCAATACTTCAACTGCCTTCCTCCCAACCTCACCCAGGTGTGCAGGAGCCCCACCCTCCTCCAGACTGACCCCTGCTGTCTCCTAGGCAATACTTCAACTGCCTTCCTCCCAACCTCACCCAGGTGTGTAGTAACCCCACCCTCCTCCAGACTGACCCCTGCTGTCTCCTAGGCAATACTTCAACTGCCTTCCTCACCCTCACCCAGGTGTGCAGGAGCCCCACCCTCCTCCAGACTGACCCCTGCTGTCTCCTAGGCAATACTTCAACTGCCTTCCTCACCCCTCACCCAGGTGTGCAGGAGCCCCCACCCTCCTCCAGACTGACCCCTGCTGTCTCCTAGGCAATACTTCAACTGCCTTCCTCCCTCACACCCAGGTGTGCAGGGCCCCACCCTCCTCCAGACTGACCCCTGCTGTCTCCTAGGCAATACTTCAACTGCCTTCCTCCCTAACCTCACCCAGGTGTGCAGGAGCCCCACCTCCCCAGACTGACCCTGCAGTCTCCTAGGCAATGCTTCAGGCCTTCCTCCCAGCCTCACCCAGGTGTGCAGGAGCCCCACCCTCCTCCAGACTGACCCCTGCTGTCTCCTAGGCAATACTTCAACTGCCTTCCTCCCCTCACCCAGGGTGTGCAGGAGCCCCACCTCCCTCACTGACCCCTCCTCCAGGCAATGCTTCAGCTGCCTTCCTCCAGTCCTCCTAGGGGTGTGCAGGGCCCCATTCCCTCCAGACTTCAGTCTGCCTTCAACTCCCCTCCCCCTCACCCAGGTGTGCAGGAGCCCCACCCTCCTCCAGACTGACCCCTGCAGTCTCCCTAGGCAATACTTCACCTCCCAACCTCACCCAGGTGTGCAGGAGCCCCACCCTCCTCCAGACTGACCCCTGCAGTCTCCTAGGCAATACTCCAGCTGCCTTCCTCCCAACCTCACCCAGGTGTGCAGGAGCCCCACCCTCCTCCAGACTGACCCCTGCAGTCTCCTAGGCAATACTCAGCTGCCTTCCTCCCAACCTCACCCAGGTGTGCAGGAGCCCCACCCTCCTCCAGACTGACCCCTGCTGTCTCCTAGGCAATACTCCAGCTGCCTTCCTCCCACCCTCACCCAGGTGTGCAGCAGCCCCACCTTCACTACCTTGGTGTGGGCAGCTGGTACTCAAACACAGATACCCTAGTGTGCAGCCCCTCCCACCCTCCCTACCTCTGGTTGGTGTGAGCCGCGATGACAGCCAGCTGGTTGTGATGCCCCAACATCAGGTGAGCATTAGCAAACACCATCACTGCATCCACACACTGTGACAGGCTCAACTGTAACATGGACAGATGGTTGTGTAGATGAATTAAAACCAGTCTTGATTCATTATGTTCATAGGGGATTCCATGATGGTTGTTTAATAATCTCTTTATCTCTTTTGGAGAAAATGGTAAAATGGTCACATAAAAACATACAGTGTACTCTGTCAATACCGGCATCAGTCGGGACCAAATAAAAATGCCGGTTTTGACAGAGTGCCGGTTTAGCTAGGTTAAACTTATGGCCTGCTGCACTGCGGAAGTTAAGCTGTCGTTACTGTCACTTTAGCATTAACAAGATGTTTGAATAAGAAACAAGGCAGTGTCTGAATGCACATTCATGTTGTTTAAATCAAATAAAATGTCTGAAATCTCTTAGTAAATTTCAACTGATCATATATTATCGGCAGAATTAAAATTATAAACTATTTTTCGCAAATGTTACTGAAAACAACGATTCTTGTTTATGCTTGACGGTGGGTCTACAATAGAGCAAAGAGCAAAATAACGATGTTTCAAACATCGAGGAAATCATTAAATAAATTGAAATCAACAATAACATTCATAAAAGTTGTCAAGCGTACATATAAAATTACTATTTCCATACTTTTGTGCGATCATGCAATGTAAGTCAAGTCACTGACAAGTTACATCTCGGCTTTCACGCCTCCGTCTTGGCGCGGACACGGCGCTTAATGTGAAAATATATGCATGAAGCATTTTTGTCATAGGCCATAACCTAGCACGATATGTCCAATACGTTCCATAATTTCACGTATAGGTAGCGATGTCTTTCTTAATATGTTCAGAATAGCATTATTTTACCCAAAACCGGTATCCATTTCCATAATATGATTGGCTGCTTAGGTCACGTGTCTGATTTTGACCAATCCACGACCCTTATAAGCAGAGTGTAGTGAAAAGCGTCGTTAGAAACCAATCTTTATCCAATAAAATCGCTTCTTACAAATGTGAAAATACTCTCGGCAAGAGTACAGTGATATTGTTGATGTTCAGAGCTTTTCGAGCGATACCCGCCATCAAACGATTAAGCCTCTATGTAAGTGACACGTGCCACTCACTAATTAACAAGAAACTGATTGACACTTCCCGTTTCTGAATAATCTCAGGAGTCAATACCCAGCGAATCAACACAATGTAAACATTTGCTTGTTTATACAGTCAAACTGCCCACAACATGTATTAATTACTCAGTGTAAGTGTTACGCATTACCACTCACCGATTAACAAGATACTGATTAACACTTCCCGTTTCTGAATAATCTCGGGAGTCACAGCGAATTGTGTTCTTACATCATTTGGACCTAATTGCATCAAAGGGTTACGCCGTCTTTCATGTGCCGGTTTTTACAGATCCGTTTTCATAACAACTTGTTCGTTGGGACCGAAAAACAATGCCGATATCCTGAATAGACGGATGCCGATGTTTACAGAAGTTTCTAAATGATAATAACGTGCATTTCTGCCGGGACTGAAACTTTGTGCCGATGTAGACAGAGTGCCGGTGTTTACAGAGGCCGGTATTGACAGAGTCCACTGTAATCAATAAAGAAATGACTGAGTAAGTCAAGCCAAACATCACACTATAAATATGACAGCCACTTTATAGATTGGAGTAGACTTTGGAAGGCTTCACACTGGCCATCACACATACTCCACAAGGTCTATGTCACATAGACCATGTGGTTTCAGAGGGAGAGACTGATTTCCCATCATTGAACACTAAGCTGGGCATGACCTCAGGAGTGTTGAATTAGTGTAGAGTGTATTTTACCTTGCTACTGCTCTGTGCTGCATTAAGATTCTCTCCCCACCACACTGGGTTAGTGTCCAGCACAATCACCAACAGACTGCTTGAAGCCTTGTCTGGAACAACAACTCCACAGTGGACCGGTCAGTGTGTACAGTGGCATCCTGACTTTCCCAGCTAACAGTACGGTCAGTGGTGGGAACAAAAATATATATCCTCGGTATAAGTCTTCAGTAACAGTTTACACTACATTGAATTAATTAGGAGGAGGAGGAGGAGGCAACTTATCCATACACAACCTAAATCTTAATCGTTTAATCATCAAAGATTGCCTAACCCAATCCAAAAGATTGCCTTATCTGACAAAACTAAATCAAATTCCAAATACCATGCATTCATCAAGAACTGATATCTAACAAGTATTGACTGATCATTTCAAAGAAGTCATGTAAAGCAAGTAAAGAGTGTTATTATATTTTAAAACAAGTTAGAAAGTAACTTCTCAAGATGTCAACACAGTAACAATAACAAAACATTTACAAATAGTCTTTAAAGTGTCTTCATGGTTGGTCATAAAATGTTTTAATGGTTAATGTTTTCAATATTAACACATGTAATTTAAGCAAACTACGCACAATTTGCATTGTTTCGAGGTAGTATTGTAAAATATTCCTGGCCTCACAATATGATTTGATTCGTTGAGGATCAAACTCTCCATCATATTGATGGTCTTTGAACATATTACCACGGGCGGTATCACGGAAAGAGTTCCTTCCATTCCCCCATATTGCCCAATTCTTTCTTCTGCAGATTAACAGAGGTACTGCAACGTGGTTCGACCCTATATATTGTAATTAATTTTGGGGCTCTTAGTGTTTTTTTAGTTAACTAGTAATTGTACAGCTTAGTAATTGTTATGTTAGGTTTTATCAATAATTTTAGTATATACTCGCGTAACCTTGATTCATGGATATAAGGAAAGTGCAGCAACAATCATATTTCGAATGCGCGATTTCATTTTGTATACTCACTGATTATTTTATTCATTGATTCAGCAAACTGAGAATGCCTAATATTCCACTCGTGAATGAAATGTTTGTTTACTGAAGCCATTTCAAATCAACAACCATTTGTGGGCACACAAAATGTGATGTAACCTTGGTTTGAGGATTATGTAGTCGGTTACAATATATCACTATGTACGACAGCCCTTTGCAGTAAGTATTGACACTAGGAAAGCAGTCAACAAGATGTGAGAAGGTTGGTGCTAACGGTATCTTTTTTAACTCGACATTTTGTAAAAACAAAATTTGCTATTAGTGACATTAGTGATCTTGGACTATTTATCTCAGTGCCGGGCAATTAGTTTTAGCGTATTTACGCATACAAATAAAAATGCAGAGATTAGGAACATTTTTGTCAGCGAGGTGTGGCACTGTGTGTACATCAAAACTACTGCTCTGTAATGTCATACGAGACTTATTTACGAGAAAGCATGATAATTACTGCGATCCACGAATCATGGTTATCCACGAATTTAGGTTTCGGTTCTGTATCATTTGGGATGGTGGAACGGGACGAACTCTTACCGGTATCACACATGAAGAAGTTAAGGACTTTCGTCGTATTGCATTGACTTATTTAGCAAAATGATATAATTTACCCACACACAACCTTAGACATGCGAGAAACGCCTTAGATTTTCTTAGTCTGTTAGTTACGATCGAGGTAATCGTGAAACTTATTTTTATAGCAGGGCTATGATCACTGATAGCTATTGAAATGGCAGCGCTCTTGTTGCTCATATAAATTCTTGATAAACATAACCACACACCTGACATCATTCATCAACATACGAACTTCTCCCAAAATCCAATAGCGACGTGAAAGTCACATTTTCATGGAAGCCGCCATGTTTAATTTTTTATATCTAAAAGCCGGGTCTTCCTCTCTTCTTTCACCACCTGTCATCAGTTTCGTTTTCACACATTTTCGTCCATGTCTTAAGCACATTATTTATTGATAGTATATATCACATAAAACTATGTTGTATGGCAATTGTTCTGGCATAAAAGCAAATATCACATTGAAAGTTTAAGGTCCGGTTTAATATCCGAATTGCTCTGTATATAAGAGTGTCTCCAATTGGCCAATGTGATAACGTTTAAACGAATAAACATCCGCGTTTCTTCGTACGGAAAGGGGAAGATAACTGTTGCATAAAACGAAAATCTCGCTGGTATCTGATGCAAGAAGTCTTGGAACAGCATTTCGTTACTTATAAGACGTTTGAATCCAACCATGGACAAGAACGGTACGCGGATAAATGTTAACTTTATGTTGCTTTGATCGCACATCTTTGCTTTATACACACAGACCTTCTGGGAAAATATCCATATGGCTTTGTTAGATTGCTGTAGTGGATATTGTCAACAATGTTAGTTCTCTCTCCTTCCTACTGTTTCTGATAACAGTCCTGTGTCAATAAATATACCTGTACTGCAGCAGTTATTTGCAATAAGTGACGATACTGACACTAATTATAACATATTGTAAAGTGAGGAGCAGCACATACCACGAATATTTGGGAGACGGTGATTTCGTAGACAAAACCAGTTCGTAGACTCGGTGAATTCGTAACCAAAACCGGTTCGTAGACGGTGATTTCGTAGACGTGTATAAATAATTGAATATATAGTATATATTAAGTTTGATTTTTACTTAGATGTTACTTAGAATGTTTATAACGAAGTTGTTATCCTGTGTCTATCCCTGTGTCGCAAAGGCGATGCTGCCACTGTAAAAAAGATTTGGTTCCCCCATAGTAAAAGTTCCGGCGGAACTTTTCATTCCAACGTTTGTTCCTGTAATAGTGCATGCGGAACAATTATTTAGTTCCGCACACACAGAATTTATTCCGGGTAAAGAGGAACTTCTACACACATCATAAAGTGTCTAAAAGAGGGTTTTGTTTGTTAGGGTGGTCTTAAAAATTGGGGCGTGGGGGAAACGGAAAGGAAAAAAAGATTTTCCTACAGTATTTGTTCAATATGGAACAAATCATGTGGCTATCAAGAAGCAATTATCATGTGTGAAAGTTACTTAATTTTGTTTTATGAAAATACATTGTAGATTCCCCAGAATGCGAACTGATGATTCTAAATGAATCTTGTGTTAAAAAGAGTTCAGTTATTATGTAACCAAGTTACCTTCATTAATCAGGTTACAGTCAGTAACCAGGTTACAGTCAACATGTAACCAAGTTACAGTCAGTCAGTAGCCAGGTTACAGTCATTATGTGACCAAGTTACAGTTGGTCAGTAGCCAGGTTACAGTCAACATGTAACCAAGTTACAGTCAGTCAGTAGCAGGTTACAGTCAACATGTTACGAAGTTAGTCAGTAGCCAGTAGCCAGTAGCCGCTGGTCTGCGTAGTTAAACGTTGAATGCCGATACTTACCTAATACATTTCTTTTAATTTTACACAACAGAATTTAATATATTAGCGGCCTATGATTTGTCGGAATTTGTGACATGGACCACTGTGAAGCATATTTTGTTATTTTATTATTTAAGGATATTTTCACCGCCGATCATACTTCCCTGATATATTTTATTTATTTCACAAAATGCAAACACTTTTCGTCGATTTTCTTCATCATTGAGGATGAACTTTTCCCATTTTAATAACGTCTACGAATTCACCGCACAATCCGTCTACGAATTCACCGGATTTCCACGTCTACGAACCGGTTTTGGTTACGAATTCACCTACAGCCGAATATTTGATATAGGATACTCTTTCAAGCATTTGCTTGGCAATCAAAACAATATTTTTTAGATTGAATCAGTCATTTCTATATTATGCAATTTAATTTTTTTTTTTATTGAATGTTCACGCATATTTTTGGAGTTTTCCAACTGATTATAAGTGGAATGTTTTCCTCATAAATATCCCGGTGTCAGGGGTTATCGACGATGTAAGACAAAAACGTAATTTTTATCTTTAAAAATAATTTAAAGTTTTTATTTTACTAACCTTGAGTGATAAATAGTGTATTCATCTATTTCACACAAACATATCAAGTGTTTTCTACAAAAATAGCGTTGATGACATCGTATCGGTGAAATCGTTGCCGCTCTCCACCTCGGGTATTATGGGTTTTCAACGATGAGCCATACTTTTCGCTCGGCACTGCCAGGGAGTGTTGTGATCACGTGGCTTCCTATTTATATACTGCCTGTAACTAGCAGATGACTGATCTTACCGAATTTTCGCTTGCTATATTTTGTTATATTGGCAATTGATTTTGCATCTGAAGTAGTATTAACGATCTCGGGTAAATAATATTGATGTATGTTTGCTTTTTATATAACTTAACTTCTGGATTTCCATTGTCAGTAAAACCTCTCACGACAATGACTGGGCATCCGCCCTACCGATGAAACTGCTTGTGCACTCAGATCGTGCACATACTCCGCTGATATAGCGCGAGCAATGTAATCGTCAAAATCACCAGAAGATCGAATTCAGCTCGCTTTGGGATATTAACTGACGATAATTCTGATATTGACACAATGCATCCAAGATGAGGAAGTAGTGACAGAAGCACATTCTCACCAGGTTTATAATAGTGTTAACCTAAAATGCAAATCATAAATAATTGGTTAGATGTATTTTGTGTTGTAAATGAAAGCTTGCATTCTATAACATAGATCATATAGATGTAAGACCATGACCACCATGCTCAAAACATGTTGCTGTAAATGACACTGCACTGCTTCAGCGCTACAGATAACTTTTTCATTTAGTCATTGAGTTATGTACTCGCTTTGTGTGTATCATCAAATTTGTTGGCTATTTGCAAAAATTGAAGCGTACTTGTACGCAATAGATTTAATGGGAATTCAGTTTTCAAATAATTTACGCAGATACGCAGCATATCTGTACCTCTGCTCTTTATCAGCTTATCAGTTTATTGCATGTACATTCCGGCAAATTGATAATCTGTTTGAATGCTCAGATTGATAAAACCAAAATTCACTCAGTCACCCCACCACAACATCAAATCTGTCTTATCAAAGCATGGCAATCTTCTGCATTATCAACTACATACAAACTTCCATAGGTGGCTCACTCTGAGATTGTGAGATCAAAACACAGAAACACATTTTGAAGAAATATGAACACAAATACAATGCATATATGAACATAGCATGTTTGTATATACTCATAAATACACACGTTAAAATAAACTATCTAACTTATCTAAGCAATATTTATGAGACAGAGAAGTCAAAATCCACCCTTTTCAAACCAATGAGCAGTGATCACTATTTTTGTGTTAAATCACATTGATTTGTGGACTAAATGAAACAAAGATGTCTCTTACAGTCCGTTTGAGACAAAATGATACTGATGAATTGCAATCTAACAGAAAAACAAATAGACATAAAAGAATGAAACTACCGCGGACTGCAATAAAAACAACAGACCAACTCTAGGAAGAAATTGCATAATTTGTGTCACAAAAATAAAAAAGTTGTTTAAGAAACTGTCATCATTTATTTGTGCATTTTACCAGTTTGTTACAAGGGCGCAGTGGCAACTAAAGGAACAGCGCAAAATGCGAGATGCATGTGCGTTAACGGGTTCTCAACAAAGCTGTTCCTTTAGTTGCCAATGCACCCTTGTAACAAACTTGTAAAACGCACAAATAAATGATGACAGTTTCTTAAGCAACTTTTTTACTTTTGTGACACAAATTATGCTTTCTTTTTCTAGAGTTGGTCTGTTGTTTTTATTGCAGTCAGCGTTAGTTTGATTCTTTTATGTCTATTTGTTTTTGTGTTAAATTGCAATTTATCATTTTGTCTCAAACAGACTGTAACTGTTTGTGTCTTATTCATCATTATGTTTTGCAGATATCCTGTCATATTTTAACAAGCTTATCAACGATGACCCAGATATTTCTGCTGCTGTTGCTGCCATCAAAACTCTCCTGAAGTTCATTGAAGCAAACAAAGGCAAGGACAGTTTGAGTATCATGTTGATATTAAAATATTTTGGTCCTATACTGGTCATAGTTCTCAATAGTCCTGCATCATGGATACTTCAAAGGTTTGCACTACCTCCACCACATATGGATACTAGGGGTGAAACGGTACTCTTACCATGGTATTGTACATATTGGGGTACAAGGTCTTAGGTTCGGTCAGCTTCGGTTCGGTGTATGAAAACTTACTTCCGGGAAAATAGTGGCTGTCTAGCAATGAAATGCATAAACTTTTACAAAATGATTTGATTTCTAGACATTTAGAAAAGGTTTAAAAAGGTTAATAAAATGACAATACGAAAACTGTATTATATGATTATATCATATTGTTCCCTGAATCCTCTGCAATGTTAGAATTGAGGAGGTGATAAACATAATGAAGACTTTTTGAACTTTAGAAAGTGTTTTGAGGAATAGCAAATAGAGTTATGCTTATGGACTCTTGAGATTTGTAGCAAGATTAGTTAAACCATTGAGATATTCCGCTCTGGTCCACAGCAACAGTGATGTGTATTTTCTCACTGGTTGTTGGTTGCAGTGGAAACTCTGTCGGAGATGAGGGAACGTCTGAAGGATGCAATCAACACCCTGACACAGACTGACAGCAGTGTCACGTCCATATCATCAGGCTGTGAGCTGTTTCTACGCTTCATCACACTGGCAAATCTCCAACATTCAGTGAGTATTTCACCATGATGAGGCAGTCTTTGATGGTGAGGCCTTCCGTCCATATGTTAGTTATAGGTCATATTAGTGATAAACAGGGGACACGTGATAGAGAGGCCTTCCATCAATATGTTAGTTATAGGTCATATTAGTGATAAACAAGGGACACATATCTTTGTCTGTTACCTACAACTAATGACATGTGTGTCTCACACACAACTAATGACACATGTACCTCACACACAACTAATGACACATATTCCTCACACAACTAATGACACATGTACCTCACACACAACTAATGACACATGTACCTCACACACAACTAATGACACATGTACCTCACACACAACTAATGACACATGTGTCTCACACACAACTGATGACACATGTACCTCACACACAACTAATGACTCATGTGTCTCACACACAACTGATGACACATGTGTTTCACACGTAACTAATGACACATGTCTCACACAACTAATGACACCTGTACCTCACACACAACTAATGACACATGTCTCACCCACACAATTAATGACACATGTGTCTCACATACAACTAAGGACACATGTGTCTCACACACCCAATGACACATGTCTCACATACAACTAATGACACATGTGTCTCACACACAACTAATGACACATGTGTCTCACACACACAATGACACATGTCTCACACACAACTAATGACAACTGTACCTCACACACAACTAATGACACATGTAGCTCACACACACAACTAATGACATGTGTCTCACACACAAGTGATGACACATGTACCTCAAACACAACTAATGACACATGTGTCTCACACACAATTAATGACACATGTGTCTCACACAAACAATGACACATGTCTCACACACAACTAATGACACCTGTACCTCACACACAACTAATGACACATGTCTCACCCACACAATTAATGACACGTGTCTCACATACAACTGACACATGTGTCTCACACACACAATGACACATGTCTCACATACAACTAATGACACATGTGTCTCACACACACAATGACACATGTCCCACACAACTAATGACACATGTGTCTCACACACAACTAATGACAAATGCAGCTCACTCTCCACTAGAACACATGTTTTGAAGCTTAAGGTAGAAGGGAAATGATTCTTAACACCAGAAGTGTTAACACTGTCCATGACTTGGAGAAACTGTAATATTGCTAAGTAACTGGTCAGTAATGGTAAGTGATGAGATGTTTGGTACATATTGCAGGGATACTGGGTCAGGTGATGAGGATGTAATGGCGATGGATGTTTGAGTACAAATCTTTCATTGGTGGCAGCAGTTGAAAACAAGAGGAAATAATAGCTGGTTTCTTAGTGGGACAGTGGTGATAATAGTGGAACAAGATGTCATTTGAAGCAATTATATACAGGAAAACCGAAATAAGCGGACCAGTTTGCATCTCTTCCACCATTAAAAGCAACTCAACTAATGACACATGTTGCTCACACACAATCATGGGATTAGAATGTGTTTAAAATTCATGCTCTTATGAAGGAAATATTCTTCTTTTCAGGATTTTCAAGAATGTCAGAAAATCTTGGTTCAGAGGGGAAACATGTTTCTGCAGAAAGTGGCCAGTTCAAGACAGAAAATAGCCAAGATTACTCATCCATTCATCACAGACGGATCTGTACGTATACCAGCACTGTGAGGAACAGGATCGTCAAGAAGCACACAGTTTTGAGGATAATTACTTTTACAATCAATATTAACATGAATGGCATGTCCACTGTTTATCCCCATGACATGCTTTGTACATACGGTTGTATTGTTGAACTGCCCTAATTAACGCTTGCTCACTGTCCGCAGTACCTGATGCCATGTTTGTCTGTGTGCAGACTATCTTGACTCACTCTCGGTCACGGGTGGTGCTGCAGGTGTTGCGAGATGCTGCTGCTGCGCGCCGTCGTTTCAAGGTGTATGTGTCGGAATCTCTCCCCGACAAATCTGGGTATGTGCGTCTGATTAGTGTCTATAGTGATGGCTGCATGTCAGCTACTTTTACATCCAGATTGTCAACCTGTTTGGTTTCTTCTGTCACCTAAAGATGAATGATTTGCTTTTGTACTGAACTATGTTCTCTTCTTTACAGTATTGAGACCTGTGAGGAGTTGTCTGCCCTTGGTATACCAACCACAGTTGTCCTGGATGCAGCTGTAGGGTAAACTCTGTTCTGATTCATGTCTAGTTATTGCGATAAGCTGTCTACTGGTATGTTCAACATACTTGCAGGGATTCAGTACTAAAATAGTTGGCAAGCAGCTAAATGCTGGTCGGGAGAGCCAGCTGAATGGATCGAGTGGGAGACCTTTGACTTGGTTGATTTTGTGTCATCATGAAATGGATCGTTGCTTCTATATATAATATCGATCACTTGATTCAGATTTAAGTGTGGACATGCTTCTGACGTATTGCTGGAATACTGCCAAGTGCAGACTTCTATAACAGACAAAGTATGTTTAGTACAAAATAGGAATGATATTCATATCTGGCCACTTGAAGTAAAACCTTGTGCTTCAACAGGACATGCTTGCTGTGTTGTAGGTATGTGATGGAGAAGGTGGACCTGGTCCTCATCGGAGCTGAGGGGGTGGTGGAGAGTGGGGGGATAATCAACAAGGTAACCAACACAGCCAGGGTGGGTCGTGTGTGGGAGACATGTTGATGTAGACTGGGGTGGTGGAGGTGGGGGATAATCAACAAGGTAACCAACACAGCCAGAGTGGGTGTGTGGGAGACATGTTGATGTAGACTGGGGGTGGTGGAGAGTGGGGATAATCAACAAGGTAACCAACACAGCCAGGGTGGGTGGGTGTGTGGGAGACATGTTGATGTAGACTGGGGGTGGTGGAGTGTGTGGGGATAATCAACAAGGTAACCAACACAGCCAGGGTGGAGTGCATGTGGGAGACATGTTGATGTAGACTGGGGGTGGTGGAGGAGTGGTGGGGATAATCAACAAGGTAACCAACACAGCCAGGGTGGGTGGGTGTGTGGGAGACATGTTGATGTAGACTGGGGGTGGTGGAGTGTGTCAACAAGGTAACCAACATAGCCAGGGTGGGTGGGTGTGTGGGAGACATGTTGATATGTAGAAGGTAACCAACACAGCCAGGGTGGGTGGGTGTGTGGGAGACATGTTGATGTAGACTGGGGGGTGGTGGAGTGGTGGGGATAATCAACAAGGTAACCAACACAGCCAGGGTGGGTGGGGGGCATGTGTGGGAGACATGTTGATGTAGACTGGGGGTGGTGGAGTGTGTGGGGATAATCAACAAGGTAACCAACACAGCCAGGGTGGGTCGTGTGGGAGACATGTTGATGTAGACTGGGGGTGGTGGAGTGTGTGGGGATAATCAACAAGGTAACCAACACAGCCAGGGTGGGTCGTGTGTGGGAGACATGTTGATGTAGACTGGGGGTGGTGGAGTGTGTGGGGATAATCAGCAAGGTAACCAACACAGCCAGGGTGGGTGGGTGTGTGGGAGACATGTTGATGTAGACTGGGGGTGGTGGAGTGTGGGGGATAATCAACAATGGTAACCAACACAGGGTGGGTGGGTGTAGAATGTGTGGGAGACATGTTGATGTAGACTGGGGGTGGTGGAGTGTGTGGGGATAATCAACAAGGTAACCAACACAGCCAGGGTGGAGTGCGTGTGTGGGAGACATGTTGATGTAGACTGGGGGTGGTGGAGTGTGTGGGGGATAATCAACAAGGTAACCAACACAGCCAGGGTGGAGTGGTGTGGAGACATGTTGATGTAGACTGGGGGTGGTGGAGTGTGTGGGGATAATCAACAAGGTAACCAACACACAGCCAGGGTGGGTGTTAGTGTGGGGGAGACATGTTGATGTGGAGCTGGGGGTGGTGGAGTGTGTGGGGGATAATCAACAAGGTATGCCAACACACAGCAGGGGGTGGGTGTATTTGTGTGGGGAGACATGTTGATGTAGACTGGGGGGTGGTGGAGAGTGGGGAGGATAATCAACAAGGTAACCAACACAGCCAGGGTGGAGTGCATGTGGGAGACATGTTGATGTAGACTGGGGGGTGGTGGAGTGTGTGGGGATAATCAACAAAGTAGCCCAACACAGCCAGAGTGGAGTAGAGTGAGACATGTTGATGTAGACTGGGGGTGGTGGAGTGTGTGGGGATAATCAACAAGGTAACCAACACAGCCAGGGTGGGTCGCATGTGGGAGACATGTTGATGTAGACTGGGGGTGGTGGAGTGTGTGGGGATAATCAACAAGGTAACCAACACAGCCAGGGTGGAGTAGTGTGTGGGGAGACATGTTGATGTAGACTGGGGGTGGTGGAGTGTGGGGGGATAATCAACAAGGTAACCAACACAGCCAGGGTGGAGTGTGTGGGGAGACATGTTGATGTAGACTGGGGGTGGTGGAGTGTGTGGGGATAATCAACAAGGTAACCAACACAGCCAGGGTGGGTGGAGTCGTGTGGGAGACATGTTGATGTAGACTGGGGGGTGGTGGAGTGTGTGGGGATAATCAACAAGGTAACCAACACAGCCAGGGTGGGTGTAGTGTGTGGGAGACATGTTGATGTAGACTGGGGGGTGGTGGAGTGTGTGGGGATAATCAACAAGGTAACCAACACAGCCAGGGTGGGTGGGTGGGAGACATGTTGATGTGGAGCTGGGGTGGTGGAGTGTGTGGGGATAATCAACAAGGTAACCCAACACAGCCAGGGTGGAGTGCGTGTGGGAGACATGTTGATGTAGACTGGGGGTGTGGTGGAGTGTGTGGGGATAATCAACAGGATTGCTAACACAGCACAGCCAGGGTGGGTGTGTGGGAGACATGTTGATGTAGACTGGGGGTGGTGGAGTGTGTGGGGATAATCAACAAGGTAACCAACACAGTCAGGGTGGGTCGCGTGTGGGAGACATGTTGATGTAGACTGGGGGTGGTGGAGTGTGTGGGGATAATCAACAAGGTAACCAACACAGCCAGGGTGGAGTGGGTGTGTGGGAGACATGTTGATGTGGGCTGGGGGTGGTGGAAGTGTGGGGATGACAATCAACAAGGTAACCAGCACAGCCAGGGAACTGTGTGGGGAGGCATGTTGATGTGTGGGGGTGGTGGAGACAATCCAAGAAGGTGCCAACACAGCCAGGAGTGGAGCTGGTGTGGGGTGTTGATGTAGACTGCAGGGGTGGTGGAGTGTGTGGGGATAATCAACAAGGTAGCAACACAGCCAGGGTGGAGTGGAGTGTGGGAGACATGTTGATGTAGACTGGGGGTGGTGGACAGCAACAAGGTAACCCAGCACAGCCAGAGTGGGGTGCGTGTGTGGGGAGACATGTTGATGTGGACTGGGGGTGGTGGTGTGTGTGGGATAATCAGCAACAAGGTGAAAGCAACACAGCCAGGGTGGGTGATGTGTGGGATGTTGATGTAGACTGGGGGGTGGTGGAGTGTGTGGGGATAATCAACAAGGTAACCAACACAGCCAGGGTGGAGTGGGTGTGTGGGAGACATGTTGATGTGAACTGGGGGTGGTGGAGTGTGTGGGGATAATCAACAAGGTAACCAACACACAGCCAGGGTGGGTGGTGTGTGGGAGACATGTTGATGTGGAGACTGGGGGTGGTGGAGTGTGTGGGGATAATCAACAAGGTAACCAACACAGCCAGGGTGGAGTGGTGTGTGGGAGACATGTTGATGTGGAGCTGGGGGGTGGTGGAGTGTGTGGGGATAATCAACAAGGTAACCAACACAGCCAGGGTGGGTCGTGTGTGTGGGGAGACATGTTGATGTGGGCTGGGGGTGGTGGAGTGTGTGGGGATAATCAGCAAGGTAACCAACACAGCCAGGGTGGAGTGAGTGGTGTGGGGGAGACATGTTGATGTAGACTGGGGGTGGTGGAGTGTGGGGATAATCAACAAGGTAACCAACACAGCCAGGGTGGAGTGCGTGTGTGGGACATGCATGTTGATGTGTAGCACTGGGGGTGGTGGAGTGTGTGGGGATAATCCAACACAGCAAGGGTAGGTAGTGAGCACATGCCAGGGGGTGGTGGAGTCGTGGTGTGGTAACCAGACATGTTGATGTAGACTGTTGGGGTGGTGGTGGTGGAGTGGGGGATAATCAACAAGGTAACCAACACAGCCAGGGTGGGTGGGTGTGTGGGAGACATGTTGATGTAGACTGGGGGGTGGTGGAGTGTGTGGGTGTGGGTAATGGGGAGACATGTTGATGTAGACTGGGGGTGAAGCAGGTAACCCAACACAGCCAGGGTGTGGGAGACATGTTGATGTAGACTGGGGGTGGTGGAGTGTGGGGGATAATCAGCAAGGGTAACCAACACAGCCAGAGTGGGTGGAGTGATGTGGGAGTGTGTTGATGAGACATGTTGATGTAGACTGGGGTGGAGTGGTGGAGTTGATGTGGGGAGGATAATCAACAAGGTAACCAACACAGCCAGGGTGGGTAGTGTGGGGGAGACATGTTGATGTAGGCAGGTAGCCACAGGGGTGGTGGAGTGTGTGGGGATAATCAACAAAGTGTAACCAACACAGCCAGGGTGGGTGGTGTGTGGGAGACATGTTGATGTAGACTGGGGGTGGTGGAGAGTGGGGGATAATCAACAAGGTAGCCAACACAGCCAGGGTGGGTGGTGTGTGGGAGACATGTTGATGTGGACTGGGGGTGGTGGAGAGTGGGGGATAATCAACAAGGTAACCAACACAGCCAGGGTGGGTGGGTGTGTGGGAGACATGTTGATGTAGACTGGGGGGTGGTGGAGAGTGGGGGATAATCAACAAGGTAACCAACACAGCCAGGGTGGGTCAGGTGTGTGGGAGACATGTTGATGTAGAGACTGGGGTGGGTGGAGTGTGTGGGGATAATCAACAAGGTGAACCAACACAGCCAGGGTGGAGTGTGTGGGAGACATGTTGATGTAGACTGGGGGTGGTGGAGTGTGGGGGATAATCAACAAGGTAACCAAACACAGCCAGGGTGGGTCAGAAAGTGTGGGAGACATGTTGATGTGGACTGGGGGTGGTGGAGTGAGTGGGGGTGTGGGGATAATCAACAAGGTAACCAACACAGCCAGGGTGGGTGTGTGGGGAGACATGTTGATGTAGACTGGGGGTGGTGGAGAGTGGGGGATAATCAACAAGGTAACCAACACAGCCAGGGTGGAGTGTGTGTGTGGGAGACATGTTGATGTAGACTGGGGTGGTGGAGGTGTGGGGGATAATCAACAAGGTAACCAACACAGCCAGAGTGGGTCGTGTGGGAGACATGTTGATGTAGACTGGGGGTGGTGGAGTGTGTGGGGATAATCAACAAGGTAACCAACACAGCCAGGGTGGGTGGGTGTGGGAGACATGTTGATGTAGACTGGGGGTGGTGGAGAGTGTGGGGATAATCAACAAGCAGCCAGGTAGCAACACAGCCAGGGTGGGTGGGGAGGTGTGGAGACATGTTGATGTAGACTGGGGGTGTTGATGTGAACTGGAGGGTGGAGGAGTGTGGGGATAATCAACAAGGTAACCAACAACACAGCCAGGGCGTGGGTCGTGTGGGAGACATGTTGATGTAGACTGGGGGTGGTGGAGAGTGGGGGATAATCAACAAGGTAACCAACACAGCCAGGGTGTGGGAGACATGTTGATGTAGACTGGGGGTGGTGGAGTGTGTGGGGATAATCAACAAGGTAACCAACACAGCCAGAGTGGGTCGTGTGTGGGAGACATGTTGATGTAGACTGGGGGTGGTGGAGAGTGGGGGATAATCAACAAGGTAACCAACACAGCCAGGGTGGGTCGTGTGTGGGAGACATGTTGATGTAGACTGGGGGTGGTGGAGAGTGGGGGATAATCAACAAGGTAACCAACACAGCCAGGGTGGGTCGTGTGGGGAGACATGTTGATGTAGACTGGGGGTGGTGGAGTGTGTGGGGATAATCAACAAGGTAACCAACACAGCCAGGGTGGGTCGTGTGTGGGAGACATGTTGATGTAGACTGGGGGTGGTGGAGAGTGGGGGATAATCAACAAGGTAACCAACACAGCCAGGGTGGGTCGTGTGTGGGAGACATGTTGATGTAGACTGGGGGTGGTGGAGAGTGGGGGGATAATCAACAAGGTAACCAACACAGCCAGGGTGTGGGAGACATGTTGATGTAGACTGGGGGTGGTGGAGTGTGTGGGGATAATCAACAAGGTAACCAACACAGCCAGGGTGGGTCGTGTGTGGGAGACATGTTGATGTAGACTGGGGGTGGTGGAGTGGGGGGATAATCAACAAGGTAACCAACACAGCCAGGGTGGGTGGAGTGTGTGGGAGTTGATGGGTGGGGGTGGTGGAGAGTGGGGATAATCAACAAGGTAACCAACACAGCCAGGGTGGTGGCGTGTGGGGATGTTGATGTAGACTGGGGGTGGTGGAGTGTGTGGGGATAATCAACAAGGTAACCAACACAGCCAGAGTGGGTCGTGTGTGGGAGACATGTTGATGTAGACTGGGGGTGGTGGAGAGTGGGGGGATAATCAACAAGGTAACCAACACAGCCAGGGGTCGAGGTGGGAGACATGTTGATGTAGACTGGGGGTGGTGGAGTGTGTGGGGATAATCAACAAGGTAACCAACACAGCCAGGGTGGGTCGTGTGTGGGAGACATGTTGATGTAGACTGGGGGTGGTGGAGAGTGGGGGGATAATCAACAAGGTAACCAACACAGCCAGTATGTTTTGAAAGTCTTCGTAATGTTGGTGTTTGATCAGAGCAAGCAGAAACATTGAGTATACTCTGCAAAGGTGGTTAGGTGAAATTGGGTTTAACGTCTTGCTTGAGAATATTTCGCTCATATGACGACGGGCATGCGTGTGTATTTGTATGTGCGGCTGCTTGTACTAGCCCAGACTGAAGCTGGTTTTATAGTGCTAGCCCACTGAGATACCATGCCGCAGTGAAGCATGAATACCCCACAAGACTCCGAGCCGACCAGTCTTTGTTGTACCCATTAATGCCGAGCGCCAGGCAGGGACCAAGAAGTACCATATTTTAACGTCTTTTGGTATGACGCGGTCGGGGATCGAACCCGCGACCTTCCGCTCTCCGGGCGGACGCTCTAACCACTACACCACGGAGGCGGTCGTATACTCTGCAAAAACATCTCTCAGAAATTATTGTGTGACCAGCTCAAGGCTGGACTCATTTCTTCTTGAACTATTTCAGATTGGGACGTACACAATGGCTATCTCAGCCCAGGCAATGAACAAGCCAGTGTATGTGGTGGCTGAAAGCTTTAAGTTTGTGAGGCTATACCCCCTCAATCAACAAGACATGCCCAACCAGTTTAAAGTGAGTATTGTTGCACAGTGTTTCTGTAGCCCTTCCTGTCTGTCTTGAATCCAGGGACACTACCTCTTACATCTCACAGGTTTCTGATCCTCCAATGTTTTCTAGGCTGTCCTGATACAGCGGGAACACTGCTGCCTGTACCTATATATACATTCTTGAAATAAGAGTTTTATGTGAGGAGATGAGTGTTTCTTCTTAACATAATCTTAATGCTGTCTCTTTGTTTTCCTCTGCGGAAACACCTGGCCAGCTAGTATTGATGAGTTGTCTCCCTTTCCCCAGTACCAGTCATCTACCCTGAAGTCTGGCCGTGACCTGAGCAAGGAGCACCCCCTGGTGGACTACACGCCTCCAGCATACATCACCCTCCTCTTCACCGACCTCGGGGTCCTCACACCATCAGCTGTCAGTGATGAGCTCATCAAACTGTATTGCTAGCATCATGTACTGGGGGAAATAAATAACAATGCTGTCTTGTGATATACTTAATGTCCATGTTTCATTAATATGTGAGACTGACTTGAAGGTGGATAAATAACAAAAATGATGGCAGCTGTAAATACTTTTGCCTGGACCAGACAGTCGAGACATTCACATCATGAGCATCAATCTATGCAATGGAGATAGAATGACATGCATTATCAAACCACCTGATCCACATGTAAACTCTGTAGAAACAGTGTGTGACAGTGCAACAGTCACATGTCACAGTGCAACAGTCACATGTCACAGTACAACAGTCACAGTACAACAGTCACATGTCATAGTACAACACTGTGGTGTTATCCCGCTGTACAGCTGTATGTAGTAGTACGACATGGTGTGATAACCCTCTATACAGCTGTATGTAATAGTACGACATGGGGTGATAACCCTCTATACAGCTGTATGTAATAGTACGACATGGGGTTGATAACCCTCTATATAGCTGAATGTATAGTACTACATCAACGCAATAACCTTCTATACAGCTGTATATAATAGTACGACATGGGGGTAATAACCCTCTATACAGCTGTATGTAATAGTTCGACATCAACGCAATAACCCTCTATACAGCTGTATGTAATAGTACGACATGGGGTAATAAACCTCTATACAGCTGATAATCCTCTATACAGTTGTATGTAATAGTGCTACATCAACGTGATAACCCTCTATACAGCTGTGTGTAATAGTACGACATGGGGTTGATAACCCTCTATACAGTTGTATGTTATAGTACGACATCAACACAATTACCCTCTATACAGCTGTATGCAATAGTACACTATCGAGGTGATAACCCTCTATACAGCTGTATCTAATAGTACGACATCAACGCAATAACCTTCTATACAGCTGTATATAATAGTACGACATGGGGGTAATAACCCTCTATACAGCTGTATGTAATAGTGAGACATGGGGGTGATAACCCTCTATACAGCTGTATGTAATAGAGCGACATCAACGCAATAACCCTCTATGCAGTTGTATGTAATAGTACGCCATGGAGGTGATGACCCTTTATACAGATGTATATAATAGTACGACATGGGGGTAATAACTCTCTATACAGCTGTATGTAATAGTGTGACATGGGGTTGATGACCCTCTATACAGCTGTATGTAATAGTACAACAGAGAGGTGATAACTCTCTATACAGCTGTATGTAATAGTGTGACATGGGGGTGATAACCCTCTATACAGCTGTATGTAATAGAGCAACATCAACGCAATAACCCTCTATACAGCTGTATGTAATAGTACGACATGGGGTTGATAACCCTCTATACAGTTGTATGTAATAGTACGACATAGAGGTGAAAACTCTCTATACAGCTGTATGTAATAGTGTGACATGGGGGTGATGACCCTCTATACAGCTGTATGTAATAGTACGACATCAACGCAATAACCCTCTATACAGCTGTATGTAATAGTACGACATGGGGGTATTAACCCTCTATACAGCTGTATGTAATAGTGTGACATTGGGGTGATGACCCTCTATACAGCTGTATGTAATAGTTCGACATCAACGCAATAACCCACTATTCAGCTCTATGTAATAGTACGCCATCGAGGCGATAATCCTCTATACAGTTGTATGTAATAGTGCTACATCAACGTGATAACCCTCCATACAGCTGTGTGTAATAGTACGCCATGGGGTTGATAACCCTCTATACAGTTGTATGTTATAGTACGACATCAACACAATTACCCTCTATACAGCTGTATGCAATAGTACACTATCGAGGTGATAACCCTCTATACAGCTGTATCTAATAGTACGACATCAACGCAATAACCTTCTATACAGCTGTATATAATAGTAATGACATGGGGTAATAACCCTCTATACAGCTGTATGTAGGGGTAATAACTCTCTATACAGCTGTATGTAATAGTGTGACATGGGGGTGATGACCCTCTATACAGCTGTATGTAATAGTACGACATCAACGCAATAAGCCTCTATACAGCTGTATGTAATAGTACGACATGGGGTGATAACCCTCTATACAGCTGTATGTAATAGTACGACATGGGGTTGATAACCCTCTATACAACTGTATGTAATAGTACGACATGGGGGTAATAACCCTCTATACAGCTGTATGTAATAGTGAGACATGGGGGTGATAGCCCTCTATACAGCTGTATGTAATAGAGCGACATCAACGCCCTAACCCTCTATGCAGCTGTATGTAATAGTACGCCATGGGGGTGATGACCCTCTATATAGCTGTATGTTTAGTACCATATCAACGCAATAACTTTCTATACAGCTGTATATAGTAGTACGACATGGGGGTAATAACCCTCTATACAGCTGTATGTAATAGAGCAACATCAACGCAACAACCCTCTATACAGCTGTATGTAATAGTACGACATGGGGTTGATAACCCTCTATACAGTTGTATGTTATAGTACGACATCAACACAATTACCCTCTATACAGCTGTATGCAATAGTACGCTATCGAGGTGATAACCCTCTATACAGCTGTATCTAATAGTACGACATCAACGCAATAACCTTCTATACAGCTGTATATAATAGTACGACATGGGGGTAATAACCCTCTATACAGCTGTATGTAATAGTGAGACATGGGGGTGATAACCCTCTATACAGCTGTATGTAATAGAGCGACATCAACGCAATAACCCTCTATGCAGTTGTATGTAATAGTACGCCATGGAGGTGATGACCCTCTATACAGATGTATATAATAGTACGACATGGGGGTAATAACTCTCTATACAGCTGTATGTAATAGTGTGACATGGGGTTGATGACCCTCTATACAGCTGTATGTAATAGTACGACATAGAGGTGATAACTCTCTATACAGCTATGTACTGGGGGTGATAACCTCTATACAGCTGTATGTAATAGTGTGACATGGGGTTGATAACCCTCTATACAGCTGTATGTAATAGTACGACATGGGGGTGATAACCCTCTATACAGCTGTATGTAATAGTGTGACATGGGGGTGATAACCCTCTATACAGCTGTATGTAATAGTACGACTTCAACGCAATAACCCTCTATACAGCTGTATGTAATAGTACGACATGGGGTATTAACCCTCTATACAGCTGTATGTAATAGTGTGACATTGGGGTGATGACCCTCTATACAGCTGTATGTAATAGTTCGACATCAACGCAATAACCCACTATTCAGCTCTATGTAATAGTACGCGATCGAGGCGATAATCCTCTATACAGTTGTATGTAATAGTGCTACATCAACGTGATAATCCTCCATACAGCTGTGTGTAATAGTACGACATGGGGTTGATAACCCTCTATACAGTTGTATGTTATAGTACGACATCAACACAATTACCCTCTATACAGCTGTATGCAATAGTACACTATCGAGGTGATAACCCTCTATACAGCTGTATCTAATAGTACGACATCAACGCAATAACCTTCTATACAGCTGTATATAATAGTACGACAAGGGGGTAATAACTCTCTATACAGCTGTATGTAATAGTGTGACATGGGGTTGATGACCCTCTATACAGCTGTATGTATAGTACTACATCAACGCAATAACCCTGTATACAGCTGTATGCAATAGTACGACATAGAGGTGATAACTCTCTATACAGCTGTATGTAAGAGTGTGACATGGGGTGATGACCCTCTATACAGCTGTATGTAATAATACGACTTCAACGCAATAAGCCTCTATACAGCTGTATGTAATAGTACGACATCGGGTGATAACCCTCTATACAGCTGTATGTAATAGTACGACATGGGGTTGATAACCCTCTATACAACTGTATGTAATAGTACGACATGGGGGTAATAACCCTCTATACAGCTGTATGTAATAGTGAGACATGGGGGTGATAGCCCTCTATACAGCTGTATGTAATAGAGCGACATCAACGCCCTAACCCTCTATGCAGCTGTATGTAATAGTACGCCATGGGGGTGATGAACCTCTATATAGCTGTATGTTTAGTACCATATCAACGCAATAACTTTCTATACAGCTGTATAAAGTAGTACGACATGGGGGTAATAACCCTCTATACAGCTGTATGTAATAGAGCAACATCAACGCAATAACCCTCTATACAGCTGTATGTAATAGTACGACATGGGGTTGATAACCCTCTATACAGTTGTATGTAATAGTACGACATGGGGGTGATAACCCTCTATACAGTTGTATGTTATAGTACGACATCAACACAATAACCCTCTATACAGCTGTATGCAATAGTACGCTATCGAGACTATAACCCTCTTTACAGCTGTATGTAATAGTACGACATCGATGTGATAACCCTCTATACAGCTGTATGCAATAGTACGCTATCGAGGTGATAATCCTCTATACAGCTGTATGTAATAGTGTGACATCGAGGTGATAACCCTCTATACAGCTGTATGCAATAGTACGCTATTGAGACGATAACCCTCTATGCAGCTGTATGTAATAGTACGACATGGGGGTGATAACCCTCTATACAGTTGTATGTTATAGTACGACATCAACACAATAACCCACTATTCAGCTCTATGTAATAGTACGCCATCGAGGCGATAATCCTCTATACAGCTGTATGCAGCTGTACGTCACAGCACATTACCGACAGGCTGTTACCAACCACTGACATTGTTGGTGTCCCGTAGATGAACGATTCATATTGCCATGTGTGTTATTTAACGCTGTACTCAGCCATAGTCAGCTCTTTGACGTTGGTCTGTAAATAATTTAGCCCGGAAAAGATGATCGAATGATTAACATCCCGAACGGTCAGTTGAACTTGTATTTACAGGCAGCCGACTCCCATCACCAGTAGAGGTACAAAACATTTCAACAACATGACACATAAACATTAAATTCTCAGTGTTCCTAATCGTGGATAAATTAATTGTATACATGGTGGGTTGAATGTAGTAAAACCTGTGTAAAAACTGTTTTAGATCATAAGAATTTGTGGGTAATAA